CACAAAGGTAGCATCCTCGTCTTAGAGTGCAAGTGGAGAGGGAAGACAAGGTATAAAACAGGGCAAAGCAAGGTGATGCAGGCTACAGTGGACAAGTGCCCCAACGTGGGGCAGGGCCAGGGAGTGACTGAGTCTGACTGGGCTGGGAAGGCTTCTCTGAAGGATGAGTGAGAGTTTTCTAGCAGATTGAATTGGGTGTGGATGAGCGTGGGCTGGGCGGAGAGAGCATTCCTACAGAGGGGGCATAGCACATTGCCATGGGTAAGGTACAGGGTGGGTACGGAGGAAAAGCAGGAAATGAAGTGGGCGAGGCCACAGAGGACTTGAACTCCATAGTAGGGCGTTTAGCCTTCATATCTTAGGACAAGGGTATTGGGGGCTGTGGGAGGCTTTTAAGCAGGAGAGTCACATGATCATTTGTGTCATAAGCAATGTCATCCATGCTGACTGCAGGGATGAGCCACTTTCTATGTTGGTGGGTTGTCTGGGAGAATGTCACTCACAGCAACTCAGAGAGCCCAGTGGTGGTGAAGCAGGTCAGTGCAAAGCCGGAGAATGGGGCGAAAGTGCGAATGGAGAGGTGCTAAGTGTACTTAGCAACATGGTGAGCTCAAGATTTCCGTAGGGGCGCATCGGGCAGCTGGCTGCCTGGGTCTGCAGCTCAGGGGAAGTGGCTGGGAGAAGCCTGTAAGTTCTACTCCCTTTGTCAACCCATTCACGTGTGGCTCCCGAACGCAGTGCTCATGTCAACATACGGAGAAACAGCTGAAACAGTTCCCCATCTTTGAAGAGACTTGTCACCTGCGCATGAACAGCCCCTAAAATACAGTCGAATCTAGACTGAGGCAGAACTGAGAGCAGATAGAACCCAGTGTAGACCCTAGGAGATTTTGTGATTATTTTGTGGGTTAGGGGTCAGGAGATGGGAAGATGAAGAAAGGAAGTGATAATGTTTCTCAGCTGACTTCTCTGTTTGTACTTCCTTCTTTAATTTTCTCTTATTCCAGCTTAGGGCCCCAGACTAGCTCACTTCTACTGCAGAAACCACATCCCTGGCAATGTGGCACTTCTTCCATTTCTCTTCACTCCCTTCTCGTACCCTTCCTCAGCTGCAGACTGAAATTCAGCATAAATAGTTCAACTACATAACTTACCTATATTTTATCATAGCCCTCCCTTGCTCAAGAACATGAAATGGCTCCCTATTACCTCCCAGATCAAGGTTGAATGCTTCACTCTGCACCTATAAACTCTTCTTCTCTGGGTCGTCCGGTTTGATTTCACTGTTTGATGAAACACTGCCCCACCATTGTGGTTCATTTCATCCCATGCTCTGTAATGACAGAATAGGTTCCAGGAAGTGCAGACCTCTATCTGTGCTGTCCAATACTGTAGCCACAAGCCACACAGGAACACTGAGCACTTGAAATGTAGCTGGTATGACTGAGGAATTGAATTTTAACTTAATTTATTTAAACGTACACAGCCACTCGTAGCTAGGGGCTTCTGTACTGATGGTGCAGTGCTAGGAACTTGTTCTTTGTCTTCCAGAGTGAGTGTGGGTTTCTGACCTCACTGAGAGCCTCATTTCCTACTCACCCAGAGCGTTCTGTAAACACTGAGCAACTGCCTTCTCGCCTTGCCTCCCGGGTCCTCCTGCAGCCCCCCTCTCCGACCTGCAGCCTTCTTCAGACCTCCTTCCCAAAGGGCTGGGAATGTGCACTCAGTGTACAATGCCTGGCTCACAGCAAATCTTATCACACTTATTATTTTCATTATGAGAAACAGCTCCATTAATAGTAACAGATCTCTCTGTTTACTTTATCCGGAACAAGTCACACCCACAAAGAGAGGCAGTTCAAAGAAACTAACAAGGAAAGTTAGTCAAAACCAAGTCAAACTCAGGGCCCTTGGGCCTTTCTTCTCTGATATTCGAATCATCTCATACTAGGCCTGGCTGGTGAGCACCCTGCAGGACTCTGCACGTGGAACAGAAAGTGCCCCTGTCTAATCGCTGGCTCGTCAGAGCCCCCAGATTTCACCCACCCCTGTGTGTGGGGGGTGGGTACTGAATTGTCTCCATTCCCTATCTCGTAAGGACAGCTCAGTAGCCACAGTCACACCAGCTATGGTAGGATGATAACAGGTATGACAAGAACACTGGTTGCAGGGACAGTGAGTGGTATGATTTGTGGAATATGAGGTATGGTCGGTCAGTCAAAGCCTTGGTCAAATGTAGGCGAACAAGTTGGGGGCCCTCCAGCCACAGGGGCCTCAGAGTCCCTCTAGGCCAGATCTGCGAGCATAAGATCTTCACATCTACTCCTTCTTTGGCCAGGCCATTCTACAGAGAAACAGATGTTTCTAAGGAGATGTATTTTGGTTTTGCCACAATGAAGCATGAAAATTTTAACAGAACTAAGCACAAAATAATACCATTGTTGAGTTTTGCCACACTGAGCTAGTTCTCTTCAACCTCTTCTTCTAGCTCCTGGGAACTCCATCTCATTTTTCAATGCTGTGGAAGACCCCCAGTATCTCCTCTCTTCCACAGTCGTCCTAACAGTGTCTGTGGGCTTCTGGAGGTGTCATGAGCGGCCTGAGTCCTTATAGCCACCATGTGGCGCCTGGCTGATTTCCACCCCTCATGAGTTAGAGGCATCACCCCAAAAGTTAAGGGAGGGTTCCTCACTGTGCAGCTTCCAGGAGGAAGTCCTCCCTCTCATATCTCATGTTTCTTCTGGTGGATGGCCACAAAAGCCACTGTGATGGACTACAGAGAGGTGGGGACAATGCCCCTGCATTGGCCAGAATGCCTTACTCTCCTATTTCCCCAAAAGGTTAGTGTATAAACCACCCTTTTCATTTCTGCCTAGTCTCTGCCCTCTTTTTAGGACAGGTAAGACTCCTTATAAGGTGTAGTCGCTGAGCTAGTGAGACACACAGGTGTATACAGTCCTTCAAATTCCCTTTTCCCCACTGCATTCTGCCAAAACCCTTCTGTGGTTCCTTTAGATCATTTACATGGGCTTAGCCTTAGACCAAGCGATCAGCCCCAGAGTGGCTGCCCCTTGAGTTACATATGGGAGACCTTGAAGGTGGCAGGTAAAAGGAGCAACATCTAAGACAATGATCTTAACTGGGCTGCTGGGACTCACTGATTAAAGTAAACACTTTGTAAGTGTGCAACCAAATTTTCATCAAATATCAAATTGCTTTCCCTCCCTCTGAGTATATACACTCTTATGATGGGGTCCAACAAGAGGTTGAATTAATTATGTCTGCAACCTGATGTACAATATGGTATGGCCACTCCAGGTCCCTGGTGGGAGGTAAGGCATAACTGCAAGCTGGACCTTAGGTATGAAGGCGTGTTAAAGAACAGAGACCCCTTGGAAGGGTCAGGGAGCCCAGTTAGTGCAGAGTCCTTTCTAGCTATTTTGCAATGAGCAATTGATTAATGTGAACATGGTCACATTATAGACCTATCAAATGCTTGGTATTATTTCTTCTAAGTGTATATTTGTGCCCATTACATTTTGAAGTGGAGACATTGAAGAAGTTCTCAAAAATGATCCCCTAGTAACAGGAAATAAACTCATCTGTTGATAAAAATAATAAGAGTAACATCTGTTTACCTTTGACCAGGGACCGTGCTAAGTGGTTTGTACGTGTTAGTTTGTTTAATCCCCACAATTCCATATAGCAGGGCCCATTTTTATCCCAGTTTAACAAGCAAGGAAATCGAGGCTCAGGGAAGTTGTTTCACTTATCAAAGGTTAAAGTGCCAGGAAAGGAAAACCTAGTCTCTGGTTAGGTGAGGCAGCCAGAGGGAAGTTGATGGCTTGGTTCAGCTATGTTCTAGGACTGACAAAAGTTGGGCAAAGGCATTAGAAATAGAGACTTCCTCCTGCAGTACGCGGTGGAGGGAAAGGAATGCAGACCCTGGTAGTAGCAAGGGTGGGGGCAGCACAAGGCCCAAGTGACAGGGAGCTCTAACACAGGCTTAAGGTCACGGTTGAACTGGCTCGCAAAGAAGGAAGGTGAGGCTTAGAAGGAAGGTGTGAAGTGGAGATGGGACAATAATGAAGCACTGTGGGGGCAAGGAAAGGAGACGGTTGTCCTGAGTGGGGTTACCATGGAGACAAGGTATGGGATGCATAGCCCTGGACCCAACCTGATGATGGGCAGAAGTCATGTATGAAAACAAAGGCCACTACGTGCAGTGGGTTGAGGGGGCAGGCTTCCAGTCCTGCTCTGAATTCTGTTGGTAATGAACACCTGACCAGAAAGGCCATGAGAATGCAGCAATGGTGATGTCCTTGTCCAATCAGAGGACTCTCCGCAGGCAAAAGACAGAGTGGCACTCAGGACACTCAGCAGGAAAATACCAGAGGTGGGGGCTCCCTGCAGGCTGGCTGCGTGGTCAGGGACCGGGGGCTTCAGTGGGGTCTGTTGGGGGACTCTATTTGACAGGGAGGTCAGAGCTAACACAACTAGCTCCTCCTCAGAAGCAGCCGCTGTGGAAGAATGCCCAGGCCACTTCCGGCGGCCTCTGCAGCTGCGTGGGACTCACCCTGAACCCTCAGAGCGAGGCATTATTTTCTCCTCCCTCTTGTCAGATGCTGACTCCCACGCAGGAAAAAGGAAGCACCTTGTGTCAGATGCTGCGGCCACTTCCTCTTCAGAAGGCTCCAGCCAACCTTTCACTTTGCGGAATGAGAGGGCAGCCAGCGGCGCTGGACTGGGCATGCACAGGGCCCCTGGTTTCCACCTCGTTTCTGGTCTTGGTCTGGCCCTGAGCAGGAGCTGACCCCTGGCTGCCTCTCTGGCTCCTGGGGCGTTGTCTCTGATACAGATCTGTACCCTTGAACTGGACCTGACTGTGTCTTCAGCCACCTCTTGGCCCACCCCCAGGGGATCCCCTGTCGTCTCTCCACCCACTCTGTGCTCGCTGCCCATGTCCCTCAGTCAGTCTGCCTGTCTGTTCCTCTCTACAGCTCGGTCAAGGAGCGTGATGACCGGTGAGCAGATGGCCGCCTCTCACCTGTCGTCTGCCCCCAACCCTCTGGAGAGGCCCATCAAGATGGGCTGGTTGAAGAAGCAGAGGTCCATCGTGAAAAACTGGCAGCAGAGATACTTTGTGCTGAGGGCACAGCAACTCTACTACTATAAGGATGAAGAGGACACGAAGCCACAGGTACCAGCCTGGATGTTTGTCCCCATTAGTAACAAGGCTGTCCCTCTACAGGCTCGGAGGGGGCGGGCGTGGAGCCCACGGAGACTGCACTTAGACTCTCCCAGGCTTTCTCAGCAGGACTGGACACATCCATTTAAGAGAGGTCACTTTTGCCTTGTCACCATTTTCTAGATAGATAAATGGAGTTGTACAGGTGACAGAGTGGTCCTCCAGGAAGCTTGAGATGGGGACTGGGGAGGATCTTACATGCAGCTTTAGTTCAAGGGTCCCAGCACAGTGGTGATGGTGGTGATCTGGCTGCAGGAAAATTGATTTGGCGGCTCACTGATTTGTTTGTTCAAAAATATTGACAGAGCATTTACTACATGCCAGACACTGTTCTAGGTACTTGAAATCAATCAGTGAGAAAAACAGGTAAAAATCTCTGCCACGTGGAGCTTAGAATGTTGGGGAGGGGGGAGGAAAGACAGAAAATAAGCAAAAGAAATAAGGGAAGTATGTAGTTTGTTAGAAAAAAAGATCCATGAGAGAAAAAATAGAATGGGTAGAGGGGAGACCAAGAATCTGGGGAGGTGTTGCGGTTTTAAATAGGGTGGTTCAAGTGATCTGAGGAAGAAGGTGACATCTGAGCAGAGATTAGAAGGAAAGGAAATTAGCCAGGCGGTCCCTAGACAGGATCCCTAGGCAGAGGGAAGAGCCAGTGCTAAGCCTGAAGGCAGAAGAGGAGCCTGCCTGACTTGTGAGGCGAGTAGCAAGGAGATCACTGGAGGGTAGTGAGGATCAGGGGAGATGAGGTCAGAGAAGTGAGGGCAGGCTCGAGGGCTGGGGGCCAGATTGCCATGGGCATTGTTGGCCCTTGCAAGAACTTGACCATTTACATTGAGGCCCTCAGGGAGGCATTGCAGAGCTCCAAGCAGAGAGTGGATATTTTTGGCTTATATAATAAAATGAAGACTCTGGCTGCTACGCTCACAGATAGATTGGGAGCTGGGGGAGGGGATGCAGGGACAAGCTAGGTAAAGGTTATGATGGTTAGAATCTCAGTATGAGTTGTGGGCTGGAAGAAAATGGTCAGCTTCCAGATATGCTTTGAAAGTAGAGCAAACAGCATTTCCTAATGGGGTGGATGAGGCTGTGAGAATGGGCTTTGATTCTAATTCTTGGGCCCAAGTGTCTTCTCTCCACCTCACTGATTCTTCATGGCCACTATGGTGTGTGAGAGTGAAAGAGAGGGCTAAAACAATTATAGTGGGACCCCAGTATAAACCAGATGTCTCGGTGCAAACAGCGCAGCTGGTCACCTACACTAGAGGTCACGTCTGTGGAGACAAAGGGTGGGCTGGGCCAGAAGGAATTTATTAGGGAAGATAGATTTTGGAAACTTTTTTCCAAAAAAGGCGAGGATAAGAAGTTTGTGGGTATTAGGGGTAGATGGGACTAAAATGGTCCTTTTGGAAGAGGACAGTTTTCTTTAAGGGTAGGTTTGAGGATCTGTCACACAGCAGCAGGACTTGACTAAGCAGGTCTTCCACTGGAGGTGTCTGAGTGATCTAAGTGTCTTCACTGCAGAGGCCAGGAAGGGACCAGAGACCCCACCACTGTGTTCATGCCCAGCGTCTTGTGGGTGGTAACCAGACTTCCTTCTCTTTATGAACAACCCAGTTCTTATTAGAGCCAAGTAGTTTCAGGCTAAGACGGTGGTAATTGGTGGATTAAGACAATGCAGCAAGTCTTCCTATCTGCAGAGTAAGAGAGATGACAATACTTTGCTCGTCCCAAATCTATGGAAAGGGTAGCTGGGGAGTCTTTGTTTCCATCAGGTGTAGAGGGTGAGAAGTACCTGATATCAAAGATCATGTTCTTTTCCTGGCTTTGCCACTACCTGGCCATATAATTATTTAATCTTTCTGGATTTCTCTTTCTTCTTTCATAAAATGAAGCAAGACTGCTTGGCCCAAACTTTTCACTGGATCAAATGATCTGAAGCATGTTTAAAAAACCGTTTTATAAAAACAAATTAATGTCAAAAGGTGAAATAAATATTTGAAGGTCTTTGCTTCTCCCCTGTACTTCTGAGAGGAAGAAACTCAAAGCCTTCTCAGGAGTAAATTAGCCCAGGATCATTAAGTAAGGCTTCTTATAGAATTACAAAGATAGCTTATTTTTAGGATATCTAATATAATAGGATAATGTAATATATGAGATCAATAGGTCAAGTAAGATAAACCACATAGCCCCCTCAATACATAACTGAAAAAAGCATTTGGTAAAATTGAATTCTTATTTCAGATATAAAAATAAAGCTTTTAGGAATATATTGACCATTTATTAGAAGGAATAAGCATATTTACTGTATTAATATTGATTGTAAAGCTATACATGTGCATGGTATGGACTCTGGAAGATGCAGAAAAGCACAAAGTAGAAAATAAAAATTATTCCTTATTCCCTCAGTAAGAAATCTCCACCTATATCCCCACATCTTCCAGCCTTCCCTATACATATACATTTAGAAACTCATCTATTATAAGTGAAAATTCGTGTAATAACATTATTTAAATAAAAATAACAATATGTCAAGAATCTTGCTCCTTAGCATTAAATGATTCTATAATGTAATTGTTTTCATTATTTTATTTTATTTTTTAATTTCAGACTACTATGATCAGGTTACAGTGTATTTCTAAGGTAAAGTTCAAGGTGTAGTTGAGTCCATCAGCCAGGAAGTAGGGCAGGAACTTGATGAACCCTCTCCCCCCTTTCCCTTCTTTAATTTAAATGAATTTTTCTCTCCTATGAACACATAGTTTTTAATCTACTAGTTTCAAATTAGCACTTAGTGCATGCTCATTTTTCCATTCCAGTGATACTTTACTTAGGAGAGTGTTCTCCACTGTTGTCACAAAAGATACAATATATTCATCTTTTTAAACAGATGAATAGTATCCCATGGTATGCATCTACCACAATTTATTAATCCATTCATATGTTGAAGGGCATTTGGAATTGTGAAGTAGGGTGCTATATACCTTTGAATGCAAGTGTCCTTATGGTAAAATGGTTTTTTATTTGGGGTAGATACCTAGTGACAGGATTGCAGGATCAAATGGAAGGTCTACTTGTAATTCATTGAGGACTCTCCATACTTCTTTCCATAAAGGCTGTACTAGTTTGCAGTCCCACCATCGGTGCATGACTATTCCCTTCTCACAGCACCCATCTGTTGTTTTGGGACCTGGTGATGTAGGGTATTCTAATTGGGATTAGGTGATGTCTAAGTGATTTGGAGTTACATTTCTCTGATAATTAGAGGTGATACACATTTTTTCATGTGTTTGTTGGCCATTCATCTGTCTTCATGAGAAAAGATTCTGTTCATGTTTCCTGTTCAGTGTTTAATGGAGTTGCTTGCTCTTTTTTGTTATTGTTGATTTGCACGAGTTCTTTGTAGGTTCCGGTTATTACCCCTTTGTCGAATCTGTAGCATGCAAATATCTTCCTCTACTCTGAAAATAGTTTCTTTGCTTTGTTGGTTGTGCCCTTAGCTGTGCAGAAACTTTAATTTGATTGGGTCCCGTTTATTATTTTTACTGTTGCTCCAATTGCCTTTGGGATCTTCTTTATAAATTCTTTCCCAAGGTTGATATCATGAAGAGTTTTTTCCACGCTGCCCTCTAGAGTTTTTATAGTTGCTCGTGTCTCAGATCTAAATCTTTTATCCATCATGAGTTAAAATTTTTCCTGAGCGATGAGAAGTGATCCTCTAGATTCAGTCTTTTACAAGTGGCTAAGCAGTTCTCCCAGCACCGTTTATTAAATAGGGATTCTTTTCCCCAAGAATGCTTTTGTTTGCTTTATCAAAGATCAGAGGGCGATTATCAGGCTGATTTCATCTCTATGTTCTCTATTCTGTTCCATCGATCTGTGTTTCTATTTTTATGCCAGTAGCGTCATGTTTTGATCACTATAGGCTTGTAGTATAACCTGAAGTCTGGTAATGTGATGCCTGCAGATTTGTTCTTATTTTGAAGAATCAAGTTGGCTATTCCTTTTTGTTTCTGGTCCCATATGAAACATAAATCTGTATTTTTTAAATCTTCACAGTATGACATTGGAATTTTAATGGAGATTGTGTTAAATATCTAGATTTCTTTGGGTAGTATAGACAGTTTAGCAGGATCAATTCTTTGCAGCCACAAGCATGGCATGTTCTTCCATCTGTAACATCCTCTGCTATTTCTCAGTGTCTCATAGTTCTCTCTGTAAAGATTCTTTACATACTTCCTTAAGTATATTCCAAGGTATTCCATTTTCTTTGATGCCACAGTGAAAGGTATTATGTCTTTGGTTTAATTTTCAGCTTGTCTGCTGTTGGCATATAAGAAGGTTACTGATTTGTGAACATTGACTTTATACCCTGAGATGCTACTGTATTTCTTGAAAATTTCCAGGAATCTCATGGTTGAGTCCTTGGGATTGTCTAAGCATAAGATCATATCATCAACAAAGAGTGATAGTTTGACCTCCTCTGTCCCCGTTTGAATACCCTGGATATTCTTGTCTTGCCTAATTGCATTGGTTAGGACTTCCAGCACTATGTTTTGTTTGGTGCCAGTTCTAAGTGGAAATACTTTAAGTTTTTCTCCATTCAGTATGATATTGGCTGTGAGTTTGTCATAAATAGCTTCCATTAGTTTAAGAAATGTACCCTCTGGCTGGGCGCCTGTTGTTCAGTGGTTAGGGCACTGGCCACATGCTCCAAGGGCAGTGGGTTTGAATCTGGCCCAAGCCTGCTAAATTAAAAAAAAAAAAAAAAAAGCCAGGCACTGTGGCAGGCACCTGTAGTCCCAGCTTCTAGGGAGACTGAAGCAAGAGAATCACTTGAGCCCAAGAATTGCAGGTTGCTATGAGCTATGATGCTACAGCACTCTACTGAGGGTGACAAAATGAGACTCTGTCTCAATAAAAAAAAAAAAAAAGAAGAAGAAAGAAAAGAAAAG